CCCAAGTGCGCCGGCGCCCGGCTGTCAGGCGTAAGCCTTTAAATATATCTCTGGCAATACTAAGAATGAAAGGAACCATTACTTAGCTATCTCTGGCAATATTAATTGAAATGAAATCTGCAATTCCCAAATGAAATCTGCATCCAAAGATCTTCAATATCAGTAAGCCAGAGAGGAAAATAACAATATATAACAATGAAAAAAAAACGAAAAACTATCCCTCCCAAAAAAGACATTATTCTGGTGGCCTTTATTGAGCAGTGCAGCAGGAAAAAAGACATTATTCTGGAGACATTTTGTTTTATATCAGAGGTCCACATTAAAGAGCGCAGACCAGGGCAGTAGCAAAGTTTCCAATGACAAAATTTCACAGTCAGTTATCAAGTGTTACAAACCAGAGAAGGATCATATTTGGCTCACAACTTTTTCAGAAACCTTTTGTTCCAAAGATATAGCTTTGAGACACTTGGGTTTGTGTAATTTGGTACAGGACATCTATGTACCCCTCGTCTGTATACCAAAACGGTTTCGCTGATTGAACATGGTGGTCGTCCTCGGCGCGCTCTGATTTTCGTGGCAGACAATGAGTCGCAAGCTTTGGACATGGTCTCCTCTACACTGACCCAATGCATCTCTAGGCTAAACTTTCTGCTCTTACTTCTGGACTTTAGACCTCTGGACCTCAAAACACGGTTTGGGGTCTCTTGCAGGGACATTTTTCACACTTCCTCCGAATAATGGCGATCATAAACCTTTCAAACCTGTTCCTATTTTTGTGGTTGGTGATCCGCTTGTCCTATTGACCCGACAATCTCCCAGTATGATACCTGGCCCAAGTCTCCAAATTCAAAGTGGAACTTTGCCCTGGATGTTTATGTTTGCTGTCCTGTCAGTCTAAGTGTCCCGGGGCCGAACATTAGTTTCAGCCCAACACGCCCTCTGCAGGAGATCGATGTAGAATAGGACCCTGTATTCAAACAATTTCGGTCCCAATCACTTGCTCTTGCTTTCGCGCGTCGCGCTGTAGCCACTATATGACAATGTCCACGCGGGCAGGACGAAGTTCCTTCAGGCCATCATTGCAGCAACTGTTTCTTGGCTGGAGTCTGTTAGTTGCTCCGTGTGTATGGTGAAGAATGCGTTCTTTTATTTTCAGCCTTTAAGTAGTCTCCTCGCAGGGTGGTAGCAAGGAGGTCGTCCACCAGAAAAGAGAGGGCGCCCGCGCCACCAAAATCCAAGTATACTGCGGGAGCATCAAACTCCTGCTAGAGCTGCAATTGAATTACGCCCAAACAAGCCACATCCCCGACTACCCAACGCATCCAAAGTAAACTGTACCTGTGAATTGGTCACCTATATACCAGCTGTTCAATGTCAAACCCTGGCAAGAGAAGAGTAATTAAGAAGAGTACATGCTTACGGTGTGGGACGGCAAGTCGCAAGCTTGTGGTCCATCCGGTTGTTCTTGAGGCGCTGGCTTTGCAAGCAGGACAAATCACACCAGGCCTGCGAATGTGCTCACTCGGGTGTATAGTTCGGGCTGCGATAAACTCGGGCTGTGTTCAATTGAGACTAGCTGGGAACAGTTCCGTTCCTGCGGCAGTTGTGGCAGGCTGCGCAAGCCTTCCGTGGCAAGTACTCTGTGGAGGGTACGTTGTTGCCCAATGCCGATTCCGAGGCCACTACTTGGTGTTTGCCGCGATGTTTGCAGGGTTGCGCGATGGGCAATTCTCTGGAGGTGGCGTTGTGCACAGCCATAAGCGCAAGGAAACTAACAAGTAATTAAGCGACGTTCCGGAGCATATCATACAATAAAACTCTTTCGTTATATGTATTTACGCCCGAGACTATCTCAATACGCATGGATATTGTTGTTTCACGCTAGTGTCAGATCATTTTTTGGCTCAAGGAAAACAGGTGTTCGTATCGTGGTCGAAGACGGTGACCTCTAACTGTAACGACAGGTCATCAGCCGTATCGCCATGAGTGCGGTACGCGCTTGTTTGTCACTGTCCCAATTCCTACCATAGGGTTTAGCGCACAGCCCAGGGGCAATGGCGCATGATGGAGCTGGTTCGCGAGATGTAAGATCTCGCTCTGGCTATTTTCCAACCTCCTCCAGGATACGCACAGAGCAACCTGCGGTTGCCTTCTGTTTCTGTTCCTTCTTCACCGTTTAGATCAGAGCCTTCGCCGCATGTGTTTGTTCATAACATTGATGCCAGGCAGATTCACCAACAAGCAATGCTTGTGAACCAAGACCGTTCAGTGGAGGTGGCTGAGGTCGCTGAACTGGCAGGCACTGATGGCGGAGCAGAACCAACACTTCACCAATGAGCCTCAACAATACAAGGACATTGCCAATGAGGCGAGAACCTTCGTAGTGGAGCCCTCAGAACAACAAGAAGCTCTAGCCGCAGCCGAAAAGAAACTGCACGACTTGAGCAATGCGCATCATGAAAGGCAGTCTCTAGACAGACAAGCTATTTCAATCAGCTGACGCTTGAGAGACATGCTGCCACAGAGACTGAGCGCGCGCTTGTGAGACAGAGAGAGGACGCATTCCGGTCAGCGCTCGCCAAGGAGTTGAGAGGCGAGTTTGAATGCGCCTCGGGGGAATCGAGCGCCCTGTTCAGCCGCTTGGCGCCTCTGCCCCTGCAACGAAAGCGCCTCACCGCCCGGGAGCCCTGGCGGGGCAGATCCTGAGACCGTGACAAGGATGATGACGATCGTAAGCCGAAGAAAGATAAAAAGGAAAAGAAAGATCGGAAGGAAGAGAAGAGCGACAAGGTTCCCAAGAGAGGACGCGTGAAGGAGCGAAAGAAGAAGCGCTCTTCCTCTGCCATCTGACTGATCAGGTTGATTTCGAAAATTGCAAATAAAGAAGATCGAAGATAGGGAAAATGACAACCGCGCCAAAGACGCGGACAATCTCCTTATCCCAAAGTTCCCAGCGCCCGAGAAATACCGCGATTGGAAGATCTAGGTTTCTGAGCTGGCAGCCAGATTTCAAACCAGAAGCTTGAAAACTGAGCTGCTTCACAGCCTAAAATTGAGCTGGCTGCCTGTTTTTTAGGAGCAGCTCGAAAACGGAGCTGCTGCCACCTGTGAGCAGCTCAGTTTTCAAGCTGCTGAGTCAAAAACTGAGCTTCCAATGGTTTTTGTTATAAACCATGAGAAGCTCAATTTGGAAGCTCAAAAACTGAGCTTCTTGGAAGCTCAATATTTTGAGCTGCAAAAATTGAGCTTCTGATGTTTTGTAGTTTTGGAAACATTGTGTGAGAGGTTTGTGAAAAGCATGATTTGCTGGGCAAAGATTGTGCCAACGGTTGTTGCCTTCTGCAGGCAAGCTGTGTGAAAAGCATGCTTTTTGGCAAAACATTGCGCCAATGGTTGGTGCCTTCTGCAGGCAAGATTTGTGAAAAGCATACTTGGGTGGCCAGAGATTGTACCACTGGGTGCCGCAGGCAAGCTACAATTCACTTGGACAGGGGGTTGCGCACTTCCACCTGTCAAACACCTCAAAAGAATTGCGCCCAGGATTGTTTTTGCCACCCCTCCTAGTCCACAGCTTTGCTAAAATTCCTCCCATGGTTTCACCTTTGTAGCGCGAAAAATCTTTCACTGGGAGCCCCGTTTCACACAAGTGCAAGAAAAGGTGCAGCTTAGGCATGATATGCCAAGATTTTGTGTCATCTGGGTCAATTTGGAGGGCTTCTTTTTCCAATTCGATGTATTGTTGGGCCACTTTCTGGCCAGCCCTTGGCAAGACAGTGGTGTCATGACACTCCATGGCTGCATGCGCTTTTGCCAGAAGCCCTGGCAAGCTTTGGACAGCAAGCTGACGAGGCTTTCTGCGGCAAGCTTTTGGACAGCAAGCTGATGAGTCTTTTGCCATCCAAGTGCTTGTTTGCTATAATTGGAAGCAAAGGAACCAAGTGTCTGTGAGCTCCTGGCCCCTTGATGGTTGGAGGGCCAAGTGGCTTTTCTCTGGCGTGATGGTGGCAAACCTGTATTCCACGTTCAAAGTTTTGTAATGTTGCTGAATTTCATCCCACAGAGAAGGCGCCCTCTCTCTGAAGCTACTTCACATAGCACTTGCCCTGCAATGTCAGCGCCCACATTTTGCAATGGGCCTCCAGCACTCATTGCACCATTCATTGCCTTCTCCAGGCAAGCCAGCGTCTGGCATAGTGGGCTGGGGTGTTGGCTGGGAAGGTGGAGTTGGAGACTCCTTTTCTTCCTTGACCTCGTTTTTGGTTGTCTGGATGAGGGTGCCATTTGCTGGCAAGCCAGTTTATGGCATTTCATCCACATCCATTGCTTGTGGAGATTTGGGTGGCTCTGACACAGTCAGCCCAGGAGGACTTCTCACCTCAACTAAGTCTTCATGCCGGGCATGCCTCCACCGCCAGCATGGCCTCCTGCAACAAACAGACTCAACACACACCTTCACCTCCAGCATCGTGGGCAGCCTCCGACACTGAAAATGGACACGACACAGGATCCACATCGACGCTCGCCTTCATGAGGCGAAGACGACGTTGCGTGAACAACACCCAGTTCTTTCATTGATCTTCACCCATGTGTTTTCATTGCATAATGACCATTGTTTTCATTGATCAGAAATCACTTGTATAAACAAACAAACACAATCAGTAAACTCTTCCAAGAAGCGATGGCCTCCAACCTTTTTTTGTCAGGCACAAATGCTGATGTGTGCCATTCCATGAAGCATCCCAATCTATTTGTGGGAAAAGTCAAAATGATATTTCTGCCCGCATCATGCCATGCCAGTCCAAAAGTGATTGGAGGCACGCTGCTTCACACATGCTCCAGGATTGTTGCGCACCAAAGTAACCAACATTCCAGCAGGTTTGTTAGATTTCTCTGAAAAAAGCCAAAGGCTTAGCAGTACCTTAGCAGTACTCTGCTAACTAACATAACTATGTTAAACCTTAGCAACAACCTAGCCGATCAAAGCACGTGATGCATTTGACCGCAACCTGGTACGTCCATGCCTGTAGCTGTTCGGACCACTCACACGGCTGTTTCTTAACAGTCTCTTCGTCCCATCCCTGAGCAACCTACACACTGAGCGGCAAAATGTTGCCCTCTACTTCTTGTCTGAAGGCATGGATCTGTTGTGTCGTCCGCTGGCTGATCAATGCGGCGCGGACTGTCTTCCACGTCATCGGTCCCTCCCCACGCTCCGTCTGCAGACGCGCGTAGAAGGCTTTTTGCTCGGTGCCATGACATGCCTTTCAAGTCCTCGGGAAGCTCCCCGAGGTTGCGGCGCATTAATTTGCCTGTCCACTGATCGCGCGCGAAGGATTGCCCGCGCATGCGCCCCTGCTCGACTGTTGCCAGCTGAGCTTGCCTTCTCGTGGTTGCGACCGCCAGATCTGCCACGTGAGACAATTCTTTGGAAAACTAATTTGGTCCAAGCCAACCGGCGAGATTCTTTTCCAACAGTACTCGCATTTCTGCATTCCTGTCTCATGGCGCACGTCATCCGCATCTGTGGAGTCCTCCTCCTCACCGTTCGACTCCGACGCAGCAGCTCTTGCCGCGGACTATGCCTTCGCCTCAGTGCGGGGTGGTACAGCTTTAGCCTTCGCAGTAGTGCCGGGTGTAGGCTCGGCAGCGGGTGAAGTATAGTGCCAGTTTGGGGAGAGATCACTTCAACGCTGACCGTTTCTTCACTGGTCAATCTCCGCGCAGGAGGATCCGTACGCGGTGGTGAACCTCCCCGACCGTTGGGCCTGCTGGTGTACCTGCGACGCGCGCGTATTGCGCAGAATCTATGGAAATATCTAGAACGCGCGCAAAATATACAATATACAATATATATGTATGTCCTAAATATGCTCAGCTCGTTGCCCAGCAGGCAATGTAGCCAAAATCAGCGAAGCCATGCCAGTCAGAACACGCAAGCCACCTGAGTAGACGCTGCGTGGGCATCTACTATGGTAATCCTATATATATATATATACCGCGCGGGTATATATATATATATAGAGGTTCATATACTCGGGACACACCGCGCAGGTATATACGCACGCCACCATGCCGCGTGGGTATGGTCGCAATGAACCACTTTACTGGTGACTCGGCTGCCAGTTGCATCGAGTCATATACCGCGTAGGTATATCTGCACGTGACCATACCGCGCAGGCATGGTCGCCATGAACCACTATATACCGCACAGGTCCAGCGACGCATGCGCAGCCTGCCAATCATTGAGTCATACGCCGCGTAGGTATATGCACGCCACCACACCGCGTAGGTGTGATCGTAATGAGCCACTATAAACACCGCGAAGGCATATATAGCGGTTTACACGTGGGTGCCTCACAGCCTGCCACTCGTTGGCGCACATACCGCGTAGGTATGCGCACGCCAGCTACACACCCCGCCGGCGCTACCACACTGGTCCACAATATAGTTTTTTGTTCTATATATCGCTATAGAGTCTATCGAGTCTAGTACAAACGAACACAGACACACATAGAAGTATGTATATATACTTTTTTGGTTTTTCCATCCAAAAGCCATCTATATTATATATATATGTAGTAAACGTCGACGATTCAGGCTCCCGCCTCCATGGTGGCCTCGAAGCACGCGCGGTCGACCCCCCTGCAGAGCCCAAAGCGCTGCGGAGAATATAAAACTGCGGCCTGTTCATGTCCGACGATATAAAAATATCCGTATAAAAATGTACGGTCTAAGGCACGCTCCACTCTTTTCTCCAGCCTGGTATCTCTGTATGTGGCAACGCACGCCTACCCTGCTCAGCGATGAGATGAGAACGTTAGCTGATTGCGTTCCACTCTGCCACAGCCTTGCGGTGAGCTTTTCTGGCCGCCTCTAAGGCTTCCACCGGAGACCTTCCACGCTTGAGGGCTTCCTTCCTTGCGGCGTTGTAGCGTCGAGATGCGAAATGCTTGCAGGTACCAGGTCCATCACCAGAAGGTCCGGCCTTCTTCCCTCCAGCGGAGCTGGCGGGTCTCCGGATAACGCTTGGCGCGGCGCTTGGTTTCCATCCCTGCATGCAAACCGCGCAGTTTCTCCTGCACCGATGTAGCGGCAGCCGTTGCTGGTGGATCTGCACTCACTCTTATCTCCGTGAGTGGGTGTTTCCAACGCATCAGCCTCCGCCGGCGTCTCCTCCCGCAGGTCTTCGAGTGCCAGTGGGGTCCGCTGGGGTTGCGCAACGGGTGCCTCCATGTGAGCCCTTTGAGGTTCTTGCGCTTGGTGCATGGCTGCAGCCGCGTAGGCTAACTTCGCAGTGGACGCCACTGCGTCCACCAGTTTGTCCATAGATGGCGTTAGTAATCGCGCAAGTCGATGCACTTCCTGAGCCAGCAGACTCATCCCCGCGCGCCAAACGGTTCGTGTTGCGCATGGGCCAAGCTTTGGCCATGGCCCCGAAATCGAGACATCCAATCGGAATGGGCGCCGGGCGCGCGCCCTCGGGAAAGGCCAGTTCTCTGCACGTAGGTGGGAGATGTGTTCATGCTTCCGGCAGCGCAGTCAATGGTTTGCAGTATCTTTCTGATGAGTGGCTTACGCCGCGCAGACAGATTGAACATAGCATTGCTAGACATGGCCAACGCTTGACCTTGGTAAGACAAGGTCCTGTCCAGAAACCTTTTCATTCAACAGAACCTGCCAAACGCTTTCGGGTAAAAAACGGTGCATGTCCGTGCAATCCTGGGTGGCTCTCCTACCCTGGATCACATCTGTTCCGTCCAGGGTTTTCTCCGCAACGTGCTCGCGCAGAACACGCAGCGAGTCCTCAGCCCACACATCCTCATCCAACAAGGAGAAGATTTTGGCAGCTTGCACCGTCGGAACCTCTGGCACAGCGGCCAATGCTTCAATATGCTCTCCATCTGCTTTTGCCGCGCATCACTGTAGCAGGGAAGGCTTCGCAAGCCTTTCAAAAACTGCTGCCCAGCGACCCGTTGTCGCTCAAAAACGGTGGCCATATCGTCCCCCACCTATGAGCCCAAAATGCTACATGTCATCGTCTACAGAAATACAAACGTTTATAGCAAAAACCACATCTGATAAAAAAAATCTTGAAAACGAGACAAAACCTAAGTAGCCAAGTAGTTCCTAAGTAGTTCCTATAAGTAGTTATGCCAAGAATATCATGCTACTTATAAAGTACGTATAAGTAGCTCGTAAGTAGCTAAGTTCATCTTAAGTAGACATTTCACTGTACTTACAAACCAAGTACAAACCACTTATATACTTACAACCATACTTGAGTCCTGTATCAATCACTTACCACAAACTTACAAAGCACTTATGAGTACCTAAGTCCCCGCAGTTACGGAAGTGTGAAGGTATAGCAAGTTAATATCGATATTAATCCAGTGAGTTTGCACGGTACCGGTACCCCTGGGCACCCCCCATGGTGTGAGACTCACTGACAGAGTCACTGACGCGGTTGACTTCTTTCTCAACCACCCAGGTATATTGGCCCGGTGTCGAAGCCCACCGAGGCTGAAGCGCACGGCAACGCTCGCTCATCATTTGGTGGAGCCCATGCGCGACGGCCGTTCCCATGTGGACGCTACGTGCGACACCGACACCGATCCATTCGAAGCCTGTTTGAACACACTGGGAAGGATCGACAAAGCCCACAAGGAACTCACGGAGAGCAACCCAGCTCGCATCATGACGCAGCTGCCTTGCCTGCAGGGGCAGCTGTCGACGTATTCCATCTTTGCCGGAGACTCTTCGATGGCATTGGTTGATGAGTCCGTCTTCGCCGACGGTACAACCCGCAGGGTGAAGCGCAACGCGGGCGAAGGTGGGACTTCATTCGTGACTCTTGACCGAGAAGTGCGGATCGGTCACCTGATCGGTCCAATGCTCCCTTGGGGGAAAGGCCTGGAGCAGATCATCGACGGCGTTGAGTTTTGATTGGAAAACAAAAGGCGTCGCACGTTGAGAGACGTTGCGCCTGCGGTTAGCGTGGTGTTGTAGGCCGGGAATCATGTGTACGGCAACCGCGGCATTGTAGGCAACCCTTGGGTGGGTTGATACCAACGTTCTTCACAGGAACCCCGCCAAGCGGCGGGCGGCCTACGAATGGCAAGCAGAACTGAATTGGCGCAGAAACATGCCCAACAGATGCGCCGGCTTAGGCCGTAAGGCAGAGAAAAGACGTCATTTGTGTTTGCGACGTGCCGTCCTATGGTCTCTCCAAAGAATACGCTCGGCACATGCGCCAGACTGCTGAGATCTTCAAGAAGCTTGGAACTGTCAGGGTCACTGGAACCACTCTTGTGCGCTCTTGTTACCGGTGCCCGGTACGACAACTTTCATAATTGCTTGAACTCTGAGATCATTGAACAGAGAAATACTTCGTCAAGTATTACTCGGCAGTTGGACTGCTCGCCTACCGGGCCTACCGCTATTGGGTGCTCTCAGGAGTTGATCATCTCCGCAATAAAGAAGCGAGCCTGTTTGCGAAACCCAGAGGTGAGAAGACAAGGCGACAGATCGCACTCGAGCACGTTTGGGAGAAGCGGATCAAGGACGGCTAGCTGCTCTTCCTGAGTGATTGGTCAGAGGAATTCGCTGGCTCCGGTCATATGGTCACCATTATTTCTGAATTGCAAGAGCCGAAAGCTGCTGTTCAATCAGAGGCTCCACAATATGCCACGGCCATCGGTTGATCGAAGCAACCGCTGGCGCCATTCTGTGCCCGCGTTGGATTCCCCAACATTTGCCATCTACGTGTATGACACGCAGGCTCGCTGCTATGCCTTCGGCAACCATGTATGGTAGAAGAGACGAGCGGAACACCGCGGACAAGTGAAGTTTTTCTTTTCAGCGCGCGCTGGGGAACCGGATGCCACGGATGAAATGACAATTGAGTCTCCAGTTGAGAAGACCACCAAGCTCGTGTTGGGTGAGTATGAGAGCTGGTGCGGGCAAGGTGGACACCTTTCAGCCTTTTGCCCAGGACAAACTAATGAAATCAAAAACCATATGGTCAGCGGGCGCAACGACCCTGATTTGGAGACATATGAGATCACCTACCTTACGCGAAAGCCCAACTTCAATGCCTATCCCACTGGTCCAAGCGCGCGCGCTTTTGAAGCGCCGGCTCGCCACGCGGCAGCGTGTGCCTTATGGTGTTGTCCCTGCTTTCTATAAGGCTAGCTGTGCACTATCCGTTCTGTTGCACTCAAAAAGATTCACGCAGAGAGTTTCGACTTGGACTTGATTGCGCGTGCACGCCATGAGGGTGAATGTGAACTAGCTTCAACTTGTCTTATTGGTTCCCCCTTCAGGCGTCAAGTTTCCTCTCCATCTCAAGGCAGGGACCCGGTGTTGCATGTGTTGCGCATACCGGAGGACCGGATACGTTTGTAGGCCCTAATGCATGCAGTGTACATACCTCACTCCTTGGCTTTTCGTTCAGTGGGGGGGTTGTTTCACGCTAGTGTCATATCATTTCACCCTTACCTCGATGTAATTGGCTCAAGGAAAACAGGTGTTCGTGTCGTGGTCGAAGTTGGTCAGCCACCTGTAACGACAGATATGATGCGGGATGGTTCGTCAACAGGCTTCTGTTGACGCGGTACTTGGAAATGCTTGGCCCTTGGAAATGCAACGGGCTTCCAGGTACCTGAAGACGATGCCGCACTAAGCTTCTTGGCCGTGGTAATCATGGTTTGTGGGTTCGCATTTGTGAAGAGCGCAGGATATGTCGCACTGCGTCGCGCGATGACTTGGCGGGCGGTTAGTAGAAGGAATCGTTTGGAATCGCACTTTGAGGTATAGATTCGCGGCTGGGCAACCGGGCACAGGCGAAGCCGAGCAGTTCCTTGGAAATATCACTGAAGCTGCGCCACTGAGCCTTGCTGGTTTCATATATATTTCCCATCTAAGAAGGCGCAAGACGTCAAGTTTGAAGCCTTCAACATGAAAACTCTCACATGCTCTAACCAGGTAAACGACTGGAGCAGGAATCATCAGCCGGCCCAGGAATGAGCCTCCTTTGCAGTTTGTGTTTGTGTTTGTGTTTTCAATCTTGGTGATGACCACAGCCTGTTCGTCAACTCAAGCAGAGCCCTTGCGGAGTGGCCTAGGTATGCAAAGATTCCAGAAGACAGGACTGCAGAGGTTGCCAAAAAGTGTTTTGACCCAATCAGGCCCAATTACATGTGTCCTTTTCTATTTTTTGGTGAGCACCCTCAGCACATGGCCTTGGCGCGCATAGCACTAGTCAATATACCCCGACCCTAAAGTCTTCGGAGACGCGGGTGCCATTTCTCGGTGCATTTGCCAAGGTACCATGTCTACAAGAGCCAGGATCATTTGGACGCCTTCCAATCGGTGTATCGCCGTTTGCGACGCACCGGCAGGGATTCTGAGGACAAGGATGTGTCAGACTCCATGTTGAAGGCCACGGCGAATAAAAGGCTACCTTGGGGCAGAATGCAACATAGCATCTTGGTTAGCGTCGAGCAACCCGACTAGGTATTGTAGAGCTTCGCGCGCCAACGATCCCATAAAGATTGTTGTTTTTGCGCGCGCGGTTTTGAAGCATGCTCCCGGCGCGCGATGGTACTCCAAAAGCACCGTGCGGCTTCGTGAGGCCTTTCATCATCATAAGTCATAGTACGTTCACCTCACATGGTCTCTTGACCCGGGTCTTGTCGCGGTGTTGTTGGGGACTCGTCGTTTGGGCCCGCAGGCCACCCTGCTACACTTTGGCAGGAAAAACAACTTAGAACGCTTAGAAGCCGCTAATTTGTGGGTCTTTTATATAGTAGGACTTGAGGTGCACTACGGGCCGCATTTCAGGGAAGCAACACGAACCAGGTCGAGGCTGAGGGCAAAGGGGCGCAGCAAAGGTTCCAGGGACACCAGCAAAGGGCAGCGTTCTTTCACCTCGGCAGCCCACTTCTCGCTGAGGACCTTCTTCCACGGCGCCCAATCCCACGCTTTGTTGTCACAATCTTCAAAAGACCAATTGCTGATATTGATGTAAGCATTCAGCATTTCCGAATTTCCAAATCCACCACGCAGCCAGAGTACTGAGTATACTCCTTCTCCAGCCGAACACTACAAGAGTGTCCCGCAAGACTGTCCCAGAACAGTGTCCCACAAGAGTGTCCTTTAGAGTGAACCACAAGAGTGTCCTACAAGAGTGTCTCACAAGAGTGTCAGGCCGGCACGCTGTGCCCACATGGCGTGGCAGTGGGAAGGACAGAGGCCAAGGTGAAACTACTGGCATTGGCGTTCGATACACAAGACTCGTTCGATTTCAAAGACGGGGACGTTCTTCAAGTTTTGTAAGACTGACTGACGTATTTGAAGTGCACTGTCGTGTTTGATGCAAACTGGTCGCATCAGCCCCTTGTGCAGAAACTTTGGAGCCTATGGAAACAGATTGGGGGTGGGCGGGAGCAGCGGCTCAAGAAAAGAACAACTGTTGAAAGCAAAGCAAATGCAGGCCGTGAATGACCACGAACTCACAAGCGCTGCAACGCAAGGTGCCAATACTATTGTTTCTGCGGTTCCAAGCTTACGAGCAGAGTTTTTTCCTCCAAAAAAACCGGCGGGATCGGCAGCTAAAGCTAGCTGCTGCCTACAAGTCAAGCACGGCCTCACCAGGTGAGCTTCACAGACCCGCGATGCCAAAAGGGTTTTTGTATGTTTTTTCCCGAAAGCATGGCGCAGGGTTCTTCCGGAAAATCACTTGAACACTTACACTTCTATACTTACAATGGCACTGAAGTATCCAAGTGAAAGTTTGCAAGTGAAAGCATCCAAGTGCAAGTATGCAAGTGTAAGTATCCAAGTGTAAGCATGCAAGCGTAAGTATGAAAAACGTTCACGGGAGATATCCTAATGAAAAACATTCCCCCACTTTGAAAATTCTCTTTGAAGGCGGAGGGTGGGACGAACAGCGTCAACCGAAAATGCAACCCTCTGCGGAGATCGTGCGTGTCGAGTGCGCGATACGCCGGCGAGAGTGCGATTTGTCCGGTGTGCGCGCAACTTGGATGGGCTGGGTCCTTACTAGTGGTTTAACATGTTTAACATAGTTTAGCTAACTTTTACTAAGTGTAGGCTAGTTGCTTAGAGTGTATCTATTACAAACTAGACGACGAGTGGCCCGAAAGCATTTTTCATCACGTAGGAAGTTATCTGTTAAGTGTGCAGTGTGAAGTGTTAAGTCGAGTGAGTTGAGGTAGTGTGTGTGTGTATCTATGTCCGTGTGTATATGAGTCTGCGTATGTGTGTGTGTTCGTGTAAGTTGAGGCAGTGCGTGGGTGTCTGTGTGTGATGCGGCCTCCCAAACCCCCCACCGGCGGCCAAGCGGTGACAGCCCAGCTCATCGTCGTGAGCATTTGGGCTGCTGGTAAGGAGAGAAGCAGCGTGCACGCCTCCAGGAAATCTCACTGAAAAAAGCAAGCTGGAATGAAGCGTACTCAAGTTGTACTACAAAGTCGTCAGTTCTCATCTTCCAGCTCCACAGATTGCTCCGCGTACTAAAAGTGCACTACCAGGTCGCCAGTTCTCATCTTCCAACTCCCCAGATACTCCGCGTACTCAACTTGTACTACCCAGTCGCCAGTTCTCATCTTCCAGCTCCCCGGATACTCCGCGTACTAAAGTTGTACTACCAAGTCATTGTACTACCAAGTCACCAGTTCTCATCTGGCCACTCCAGATACTCCGCGTACTAAAGTTGTACTACCAAGTCATTCTACTACCAAGTCACCAGTTCTCATCTGGCCACTCCCCAGATACTCCGCGTACTAAAGTTGTACTACCAAGTCATTCTACTACCAAGTCACCAGTTCTCATCTGGCCACTCCCCAGATACTCCGTGTACCAAAGTTTTACTACCAAGTCGCCAGTTCTCATCTTCCAGCTCCCCAGCTACTCCGCGGACTACAGTCGTACTACAAAGTCGCCAGTGCTCATCTTCCAGCTCCCCAGATACTCCGCGTACTCAAGTTGTACTACCCACTCGCCAGTTCTCATCTTCCCACTCCCCAGCTACTCCGCGTACTAAAGTTGTACTACCACGTCGCCAGTTCTCAGCTTCCAGCTCCCCAGCTACTCCGCGTACTAAAGTTGTACTACAAAGTCGCCAGTTCTCAGCTTCCAGCTCCACAGCTTGCTCCGCTGCTAAAGTTGCACTAGAAACTCGCCAGTTCTCAGCTTCCAGCTCCACAGCTTGCTCCGCTGCTAAACGAATCGCACTCTCGCCTGCATTTCGCGCACTCGACACGCACGATCTTTGGGAAAAGGACAGGCATATGTTGGTGGAATGCCACACGCTGGCTTGGTTAATTGGGTTTAACAAAGCACATTTTGATGCAATTCCAAATTGGCTTGGAGCTGACAACTGCTTGTTAACATGCAATGTAGCAATGGACACACATTCTATGAATGCCACAATGGCTCAAAAATACATTACTATTTAC